AAACCCACCTGTAGCTCACATAAAAGGGGAAGCCGTAATATATTTATTCCAACAAGGAAGTGTTTCGTTTCCAAGACTGAGTTTCCTGGAATAATTCAGAAGTCATTTCCACCCCAAAGAAGCAGGCCACCTTTTCCAATCAGTTTAACATTGCTACTTTCAAAAGGGAGGCCACTACTACGTAAAAGTAAGGACTCCATGTGCTGGACTGAGAAAGGGAGCATGAGAACTTCACTCTTCTGCCTGTAATTCACACATCCCCAACTCACATAAGCCCCTGAAAAACGTGGCACGCCCTCTCTGGACCAGGTTTCCAATGCGAACATCCCCTAAACAGCAATTTCCAAATGACCGAGAAGCCTAAAAATCAGCACAGCCCCCCCCACCACACATATACACTCATCAGCGAAAAAAACCACGATCCCCAGTTCAGATACAAACTCTGCCCTGCGCTCACTCTCCCCCAAAACAGGCAAGGACCATTTGGTCACCATCCCACTGCCTTTCTTGGACAAAATCCCATCACTGGACATGCCCTCCTAAATTCCATACCTTTGCCCCACCAACAGTTCCTTACCCTACACACCCCTCCCCATAACATTTTACCCGCCCCTCCTTTCCATCCGGGATCCAATCCACCAGCCCCCTCCCACTACCACCCACTCTCCTAATCACCGTGTCCCCTCTAATAATGTTCCCCCCGAAAAGCCATCCCCGTGTCATGCTCTCCTCCACCCCCTGATCCTTGGTCGGGCCCCAGCTCCCGCAAGGGGTGAGAGGCAGGGTCCCCAAAGCTGACCGAAGGGCCCGCAGGAGGGGGAGGGGAGCTTAAGGCCGTGCGCATGCGCCGCGGGCGCCGCGGTAGCCGGTCGCCCCTAGGCCCGGAGAGAGCCCCGGCCGCCGCCGTCGTCCCCCACCCCCCGACCACCGCACCTACAGGCCGGCCCGGCCTCGGGCTCCACGCAGGGAAGGATACTTAAAGCCAGCATTTTGGACTGGTAGTCGAAGGCTACCACCTCGCCCTGCAGCCGCTGCTCCTGGCACGTCCGGCACGACACCTGGCTCCCAACGCTGAAGTACTCGCCCGGAGGAGCCGCCATCTTGGGAGTGCAGCCGCGGCCGGCGGCGGCGGCGGCAGCAGCGGGCGAAAGCCGGGCCCCCAGTGAGCGCCGCGGCGCGACGCGACGCACGGAGCGTGCTTCCGTCACACGCCGGGGCGTGGCCTGGTGCTGGGTGGGGCGAGAGCCTAGGTGGACTAGGAAAAAGGAGGAAATAAAGGGGAATCTGAAAAATAATATTTGTATAGCTGCGTCCGCTCGCTTAAGTGCTTGTAGAGTCTATTTTAGAAGTTAAGGATAAATGACCTATGTGGAATGAAAAGGGAAAAGAAGAAGGAGCTGCAGTCTCCATTATATGCACACCTTGAACACAAGGGTTTAATGAATGAATTTTATTAAATAATTTATATTATCCCATTTTGCATATCAGGAATCAGAGCCTCAGAGGACTTAACGAAACTTGGTCAAGATGATTATAACGGCCGGGCGCGGTGGCTCACGTCTGTAATCCCAGCACTTTGGGAGGCCAAGAGGAGGTGTAGATCATCAGCGGTCAGGAGTTCGAGACCAGCCTGGCAAACATGGCAAAACCCTGTCTCTACTAAAAATACAAAAATTAGCTGGGCGTGGTGGCGCGTGCCTGTAATCCCAGCTACGAGGGGTGCTGAGGCAGGCAGATTGCTTGAACCCCGGAGATGGAGGTTGCAGTGAGCCAAGATCGTTCCTCTGCCACTCCAGCCTGGGAAACAGCGAGTCTCCGTCTCAAAAAAAAAAAAAAGATGATTATAACTACAGAGCGATAGTGGAAAGAACATTGGCTGTGGAGTTGGATACGCTGGAATCAGAATTTCAGGTCAGCTTACTAAATTACGTGACCTTGAGCAAGCAAATTACCTGATCCTGTTTCCTCATAGGCATTTATATTGTCAGTTCTTGAGCACCTTTGTAACAGCCCTTTGAGTCAGGAATCAATGTCCTCCTTTTAGAGAAACTAAGTTTTAGACTAAACTTGTCCACGCTTGCACAACTAGCAAAAACAGTCTGCCTATTTCCAAGGACGGTGCTATTTACTGTTATACTATATTGGATAATAATACGTACCTCAAAGTTAGGAGGTTTAAATGTGATAACATGTATATGTGCATGGCATATATTAGCTGTTTAATAAATAGTAGTTCCCCCTTTGTCATCCATCATTCTTCTCTCTTTTTGCCCTCTCCCCCAGAAAGCCAGGGGGCTTCCCCTTCTCCATTTTTGCCCTCTCCCTCAGAAAGCCAGGCAAAAGGCAGGAATGAGGAGCAGCGAACAGTGACAAAAAGGGGCTTGGAGGAGGGGTTTTGCACCCCTGCCCTTTAATGTACATCTGATACATAAAACAGTCATTTTTGGCCGGGTGTAGTGGCTCACGCCTGTAATTCAAGCACTTTGGAGGACAAGGCTGGGGCAGATCACCTGAGGTCAGGGGTTCAAGACCAGCCTGACCAACATGGTGAAACCCCGTCTTTAAAAAAAAAAAAAAAAAAACATTTTCTTAATCTATGTAAAGGACTATGCCGATGCATTTTCAAGCCCTGCTACCACCAATTGCCGTAGGTAATCGGTAACCCACCCACCCCTCACTGTAGAAATTTTGGAGCCTTGCTTCCTGTATGAGAAACAGGTTGACCTTTTTCTAGTCCAGAGGGAGGCAAAGGGCCAGTCTTGGCGCAGCTTAACCTGAACAAAGTTCAAAAGTATTTCCTTGCCCTCCAAGAAACATAAACTTCCTGGTGTTGGAGGTATTGGTACAATCATTGTAATAGGAATAAAAATTATACTCCTTTATATTGTGCTTTTTCAGATACCTTTTTTTTTTTTTGAGACAGTATCTCACCCTGCCGCCCTGGCTGGACTGCAGTGGCACCATCTCAGCTCACTGCAACCTGTGCCTCCTGGGTTCATGCGATTCTCCTGCCTCAGCCTCCTGAGTAGCTGAGATTACAGGTGCGAGCCACCATGCCTGGCTAATTTTTGTACTTTTAGTAGAGATGGGGTTTCACCCTGTTGGCCAGGTTGGTCTTGAACTCCTAGGCTCAAGCAGCCTTCCGCCTCAGCCAGCCTGTCAAGTGCTAGGAGTACAGGCATGAGCCATTGTGGCCAGCCTCAGAAGACTTTCATGCCTCTCATCCTTGTTCTGGCCTCCATAACAAATCATACATAATCACCATTCCAGTTGTCCACTTTTTATGTGAAATCGTGATTATATAGTACTGAAATCTCCTTTGACGTGATAAAAGAAAAAAGAAATCGTGATTACAGGTTTTCATATATGATTTATAGGTGCCGCTAGGAAGTGAAAAATCTCTGCTGAGACCTGAAGAATTAGCAAGGAAAGAGGATGGCCATGTTCCAGGCAGAGGGAACTGCATGGGTCAGGACCCCTAGGAGGAGAGAACTTGGCAATCTCAAGGAATGTATAGCTCAGAAATATTTTAAAGTGGAGTGTGGGAATAGGCTGGTGAAGGTTGAGGCTAGATCCAGGGCAAACTTTCAAAGATTCAATAAGAAATGTAGACTTTCTCCTTGGGCAATTAATTAAAAAACATCTAGCAAGGCAGTGAACTAAGATTTATACCCAGCTTCCCTCCCCTACACCTTTTTTTTTTTTTGAGATGGAGTTTCACTGTTGTTGCCCAGGCTGGAGTGCAATGGTGAGATCTCGGCTCACAGCCACCTCCGCCTCCCAGGTTCAAACAATTCTCCTGCCTCAGCCTCCTGAGTAGCTGGGATTATAGGCATGTGCCACCACGTCTGGCTAATTTTGTATTTTTAGGGGAGAAAGAGTTTCTCCATATTGGTCAGAGTGATCTCGGTCTCCTGACCTTTGGGAGGCCTGCCTTAGCCTCCCAAAGTGCTAGGATTACAGGCGTGAGCCACTGCACCAGGCCTCCTCCACTTTTTTAATTAGTGATATTAATATCTTTCAGAGAAGAACACAGATTTACATTCTTATTTTAATCTACCTATTAGAAAACTTTTATTTTTTATTTTATTTTTTTAAGATGGGGTTTCACCATGATGGCCAGGCTGGTCTTGAACTCCTGACCTCAGGTGATCCACCCACCTCGGCCTTCCAAAGTGCTAGGATTACAGGCGTGAG